CAACTGTGCGAATCGCGCTTTATGTGATCGAATGTGATAATATTGGTGTGTCAAGTGTTTTTCTTTTCTTTTCTGTCTTTCTATAGTTCAATTGCAATCACACTCGCAATGATTATTGCAGATGCTCGCGTTGCGTGTTGTTTTAATGTTGTATATTAGAGAATTTTTCTAATTAAAGTCATCAGAGTTTTGCTCGTGTTAAAATGTGGAGTATAAAAATCAAATTCCACACTATCAGCTATATTCTCTCTTTACCCTCATATACAAATAAGGTCACGTATTGATGGAAAAATAAATAAGAGAGTGACAAAGATTGCCATCGAGCTGTTCTCAATAGGATTCAATTTATCATGATGTTTTGTGTTAGTTTATGGCTTAGATTCACTTGAGATGATAATTTTCACAATGTTTAAAGTCTTTCTTCTCAACATTGTTGATGTTAGAGCTATAGGGGCACTGAAAGATAAGAGAGAGAGTGATACTTTGTGTGCCCAAAGGAAGGGGGGAAGTGATAAGCAGTGCATTTTTAATTTAGCATTTTATGTGGAATTGATTAGAACGAGTGCAGAAAGTGTCACCAATCACACTGGCAAACTGTTATAGAAGAACAAGAATAAAAAAAAATGATGAAATTTCCTTTCAATTACGCAGTGGAGCGAGATTCTGTGCGTGAGTTTGTGTGTCCTCTTCTGGGAAAAGCGTGAGTGAATTTGAAATTCACTTGAACAGAAATTCTGGTTCTAATTTCATATGGAAAATTCCGTTGTGTTTTCTATTCAAACAAACCTCGAGACAGAGAAGACTTTTTCCTGATTGAATATTTAATGGGCGACGGCCTGGTGAATGAGTGGGAAAAGGGTCTATTTTTCATCGTGCAATTACGCTCACCAATATATTCCAGAGAGACTTAAATTGAGTTGAATAAAAAATAACACCGGGTTGTCAGATGAGGTGATTTTTGGCGCTTTATTAGCATGGAAATGCTTAAAATTCAGTATGAGATTTGTTATTGAAATGAAAAAAAATTTTTCTCGTCCCCACCGCAAAAAAAAACTAATAAAGTCCCCCGTGTTATTATTATTGTTCATCCTCTGTTTTAACGTGAGCTCAAACCTTGACCTTATCGCCCCAGAAAGAGTCATATAATTAACTTTTTTTTAGGTATTCTGTAGGAATTCTGCGTAACGCATGAACACAGCTAGTGATTTTTTAATTAATTTCTAAATGTCTCTTTTTCGGGTGACAGACAACGTGTACGCGCCGGCGAAGATGTACGGCAGGAGGGAAAAGGTTTGGGAGTCTGCGGCGGTGAAGAGCAAGAAGAAAGGAGGCGGAGGATCGAAGTTGGAGGACGATGACAATGGCAATGGTGATGTTGCAAAGTTGAAAGTGGAGAGCAATTTAAAGAGTGACTTTGAGAGCTCAGAATCGCAGTCGAGTGAGTCCTGCTCGGAGAAGTATGCCTTCCGGACGGTCATTCAGACGGACATTGAGTATGGGAAGAAGAGTGGAGACAACACGAAAATCGGGTAAGTTTTTACATCATCAAATCCTGTGATTGTGTGTCTTGCAGATGTCTGAGTTGATTATGAAGAAAATCGTGTAAATTTAAAGCTACACAGAGAATTGTTTTTACCCGAAAAGCCCTTTAGAATACTGGACTGAAAGATCGCTTTCAAGCTCCGCCCCTTTCAATGCCACGCCCACAATTTCTGTAGAGATGCATTGACTAGAATATCAGCAGCCTTTATCTTGATTTCAAGCTCTTTACCTCGCTAATTTGTGATTCAGAATTATGTGCAGAGAGAGTTCACAAAGCAGTGAACCGGCACCTTAATTAGTCTCCTAATTTAGATTTTGATGGAAATTTATGTTGCAAAAAGTGAAAAGAACAAAAATTACACATTTATCTCTGTGGCGTTTCCTGTCTACAAAGTTTCTCCTTCTCAGAACGAATGCAGCACTAAGGCAGCAGTGTGTGAAAGAAATACAATCTCTGGCTAAACATGAGGAAGATCTCTCGGCAAAAGTGGGTGGGCGTGAGGCGCAAAGCGGGGGGAATTAAATGGATTTCTCGCTGCACATAGTGAATGAGGCAAAAGTTTTAAAGTGTGTTTGCTTTGCAGCTTAATAATGTTGCTCAAGTGTTGAATGTGACAATGCAATTTTCACCGAGTGTGTATGTGTGTGTGTGTGTGTGTTGGAGTCCTCTTTCGAGGGCAGGCGAGCAAAAAAAAAGTGTATTTATAGCGATAAGAGAGGTCTATCTTGCAAGATTATCACTTGATTCACTGCGTAGTTCTGTGTGAAATATGCCACTTAATAAGTATGATGTGATTTTTTCCCACATTCAAGCACTTGCTGTGGAAGCTTTTTTTTCCACCAATGCGTGCTTCTGTGGGGTTTTTTCTCTATGGGCAGCAATTTTTTGTGATTGAACAGGAATGATGTAAAAACATGCAAATAAGGCATTGGAATGAGGTGTAGCAGAAAAAGACCACTTAAGTATTATTTTGCCATTAGTTGTTTGAAAAGAGATTTAATTTGGCGGGCGATTGGAAGACAATGTAATGGTAGGAAATCGATGAATAGAGTGTGCGAGACGCTGAGTTGTACTGTAAAAGGTCATTATTAGAAATTTCTCTGCGAGGAATGATAATAATAATTGCAGATGTCTAACAATGACCTTTGCAAATTGAATTTAAGGAGAAATTGTTTAATAATCTCCAACTCGGGGGATATTATAAGTTTTATGTGGAGGAAATCTGTGACACAATTTCCCTTTCAATGCCTATTCTCTCGTGTCTGTGCGTTGTGAAAAATAAAATTTATTTGAATTGCCGAAGCTCAATAGAATATCTTTGGGAGGGATTTCAGCCAGTCCATGGCTGTTTTGGTGTGCGTGCGAAGGAGATGACAGAAGATGCGAGAAGAGTGCGTAGGTTTGAAAAACATTGCGCAAAATCTGCGTATCATCTCCCAAGGATTCGAATCTCGCACCGGGAGAAAAGCATGGACATTTCTCTGTATTTCTCATCAAGGAGAGAGTATAGCTAATCTTTCTGGGGGGGATTCGGCATGATATAAGCATTCTCTTAACATGGTGAAGGTGATAAGAGCACTTCATATGCTTGAAAAGTTCTTTTTGTCATTTATTTGGGGGATTTGTTTCCAAGGGAAAATTAGGTCAAATATTGCGTTGTGACGCTGCTCTACGGAAGTTCTTTCGATGATTTTTCGGGAGAAAATAAATGGTAATCTGATATTTAAGCATTTAGCTGGAAGGGTGAATGAAAGACGAGTAAGAAGATATGCTGATATTTTTTTTTGACAAGGTGGATTTGAAGTCTTTAATACAAAGGTTTAGGCAAGCTTAATAGCGATTAATGCGTCAATTATTTTGTCATTTATTCTGATAAATTCTGATTTTCTCATGCAATGCCGGTGGAAGAAAAGAGTGGGAAAATTGAAAATTTCTGTGGGAAATGAGAAAATGGTACAAATGTGAAAATTCAGGAGGGAATTTCAAATTAAGATTAATATTTCAATGTTCTCAGGCTTCTTTTGAGCGCGATTTTATTGCATGATAAAAAGTGCGAATTTGATGAATGTTTTTACCAAAAGTGTGTGAATTACAACGCATTTCTTTGATTGGAATACAAAAAAAAACACAATTGGTCAGAAAAGATTCCAAGATAGCAACCGTAAGTGGCGCCATGGTGGTTATTTTGAGAAGCTCACAAGTTCATAAAATATGTACCTAAGCATGCAAAAAGCAATATTAGGAATTTCTAGAAGACTTCTAATATTATGACAGTGGTTAGTGGCGCTATTGTGGTGGTTCTCAGAAGCTTACAAGTTCAGAAAGTGACGCTTTAACTTGATATTGCGGTTTGGAGGATAATTACAGTTGGGTTTCGCTCAAATATTAATTTCGAGAGATTTCAGCAGATAACTGAATAAATTCTGTATATAAATTTATGGTTTTTTTATGCCTCTGGCGCAGAGATTGAGGAATGTTCTATCTTATGACATGAACATTTTTCAGCATATCTTTCAGCTATTTTCTCCCGTGCACGCTATAAGAAAGTTGTCGGGAATGCTTTTTTTGCATTGCCATGTCTTTTTCATCGAATGCGAATGAGTACGCAGTGAAAAAAGGGAAGGGAATTTATTAAGTAATTGATGGACTGTTGGATGTAATTTATTGGTAAAGTACGTTATTTTTGTGCACATGTGTGAAGAGAATTTTTATTTGCTGGGATTACAGCAAGTGATTTTCATCCTCGTTGGTGGTTTTTTGTTTGAATTTGTCGAATTCATGAAGTCCACGAGACGTGGAAAAGACAAGAAGCAAATCGTCTTCCATTAAATACTTATTAGTAGGTTCTTTTCCCTGGACTACCTGTTCTACCAGATTCTTTGTTTTTATCATCAACCGTTCGAATGGCTGTTCGACGTTGTGTGAGAGTTTTTGGCTCTTGTTGGCGTGCTGCTCTCTTTTTGCTGTGTGTCTCCTTTTATTAATAAATACACCTGAACCAACAGTTGGCGCAATATTTTCATTGAAATTTATATTATGTGAGACTCTCTCGCTGTCTCTCGCTCTCTCTCATTCTCTGTTCTCATGGGATGTTCAGTGCTCTCCGAAGGAGTCTCACCTCGTTTTTCTCGTCTTTGCAAAAGAGTGCTTCTGGTGTTGTGCTTGATTATTGAGTAAAAGTCCCAATTTTCTCTTGCCGCTCTCTCTCTCTCTCTCTCTCTGTCTTTCTCTCTTTTTGGTGAGGCATTTTTAATGCTCAAAATAATACAAAATGAGAGAATTTATGCGTTGCGAGACTTCTTGAAAAACCTGTAGGAAGAAAAGCTTGGAGTTGATACAATGTTGTGTGTGACGGAGAAGTGAGCGCGCCAGAGAGAGAACTGAAAATTTTGTGTGATTCGCGCACGGAAATAAACACGAATGTATTGAGAGACCGCGCCACAATAAAGTTACATAGTGGAGAGTATCGTCAGTCGACGTTTGGCTATCCGTACAAGTGGACCTTATAGTCATACTGGGTTTCAGAGCACTAAAGCTCTCTGAGCGCGCGGAGTGTGTTTCTCGGTGACCGGAAAAGTGGTGCTTTACCAAACAGGAAGGACACGAAAAGACGTGTGTGATAGAGTTATTAAGACACTTTTCCGATCGGTGTGTGGAACTCTGGCTACTCTGCTAAAGTGTTTTCTGTTTCTCTTGGGATTTGTCGCTCAATAGCTAGAGAGAAAGAGATGGTGGAAAAATGAGAAAAATTTATAGTGTGAAGACATGAAATTTATAAGAAAAATGTGTGGCGGGAGTGAGATAAATTAATAAAGAGTTATAATAATAAAAAAAAAAAATTTAATGTGAATACCAGTTCGTATATAGTTTTTTTTTGAGAGTTGCGAGAGAAAAGATGGCATAAAAAAGAGAAATATTTTTATATATACATATAATCTCTGGGTGAAATATGTGCGCTTTTGTTAGGTATATAATGTGAAAATTATTCGACAAAGGTTATTTGTTGATTTAATATCGTTGCTGGATTGTGTTACCCCAGCAAAATTTTCAGACTTGAACACACTGTCATTTGACGATGAATTATTTGCTTTATACTGTTGAGAGGGTGTTATATTTGACACTGTTCTAGAAACACCGAATTGTGGTGGAAAATTTCTGCTGGACACTTTTTCTGCACGCAGAGAAAGAGGGAAAAAAGAGAGAGACAGTTTTGTGAGGAATGAACAGTGATTTGCGTGTGATCTCCCTTAAACCACTTGTACCACCATTCAAATGGCACTGACCAGGCCAACAAATAATTTTTGTGACACTCCAACAGTGCAGAAAGAGCGATTAACAATACAGACAACCGAAAAGTTTGCTATTGTGAATATGTGTGTTGGAGGAAAAGCTCCAGGCGATGCTTCGAGTGGAGATGCTCATTAGGGAAGTCAGAGACTTCAATTGAGGATGAAGTGCACATGTAATTTGTACTGAATTCATCATTAGATGCATTGAATGGTGCAGATAGACAGATATAGTGTATTTGAAGTGTTCTTTTATCAAGCTCTAGAGACAGTGTTGCGTTGGTGATGATTTGTAATGCAAATAGTGTGGTTGGGAGATATAATTAATGGAGAGAAAAATAACTTCTTGCACTCTGTTGTGTTCAAACTAAAAGGCTTCAATGCGTATAGTTGAAAAATTAGGGTGTGTTGGATAAATAATAAAAAAATACATATTCAAGCGCGCTTCTTAATTTATTGTGGAGTGATTTCTTTTTACACTCACTAGAAAGAGGAACATAATAGTGAAAGATAAGCACTTGGCTGACGAGTGTAATTAAAACAGTGAGACTTTTTATCATGTTTTATTTTGGAAGTTTATATGAAGACGTTGGACTCTGAAAGACTTTCATAATATATATGGATTATTGACGTGGAAAACAGAGTCCATCATTTAGCACAGTTGAGCTAAAATGCACAGAAATTCGTGGCTGAATTTTATTGCATGACAACTTGTTTGGACTGTTTTTTTTCATATATAATTCTTCTGTCCAGTCAGCCAAGAAGATCTTCTTAGGAGAGGAAAAATAAACGAGTTTTCACAAATATATATGTATTGTTGGGATTTTTATGTTACCTGATATTTTTGTGTGTCATCTCGGCAGTGTTGCGATAAAAATAAGTTGTGTTTGTGGAAGAATATATGGGGGGAGATGGTAAGAAGTACAGGCGAAGAGGTGGATAAAAATCAATAAAAATCAATACGTTAAATGGTCACGTAAACAAGAAGTGAGAGGAAATTGTTGTGAACTTGTTAAAGTTCGTGTCAAGTGAATCATTTTTTCACTTTGTCTCACGGCAAAAAAAGTGTCTTGATAGGAATCACAAAAGGTGACATCTCATTTCGTATTCATCCCAAGGATATTTCCTTCTGTCCACACTTACGAGAGACAGTGAAAAAAGAGAGAAGTTGAAAATTGACGATGCGAAAATGTGAATAAATTTCTTGGGTGGTGATAATAGAAGATAGACAAGAGAAGAAAGGGAGAAAGAGACGAAAAAAACTGTGCGGACTGCAATTAGTCATATGTCGAACTGGAGGGACACGAAGAATGGGCTTTGACTACTGGCGAGGAAGGATCAGAGGCAGATAAAATGAACGTGGAGGGACCACTGAGTAAGCCGTTCGCCTGTGGATATGTTCATCAGATGGAAAGTCAACAGCAGCAGCACACAAACTACCCGACGCAAGCCAATATGGACTTTGCCGCCCACCTGGAGCCATCATCATCGTCCTATCACTACCAGCAGCCGCAGAATCATCCCTACTATCAGCGCTACGAGGAGTACAATCAGTATGCGCTCGAGCAGTCCGCCGGCGGCTATGGCCAACCCACCTATCCCTCGACGTCGTATGCCTACGGCGACTACTATCGCGCGTATCCGCAGCAAGAGGCTGCCGGCTTCGCGGGACATGCGGCGGACGCGGGCCCGTCCAGGGCACACCATCTGCAGTATCAGCAATCGGCCCCGAAGCCAGCGACGCAGCCAATGTCGCAGCAGCACACATGGTATCAGCCGCCACTTATGCCACCGGAACATATGATGATGAATATGATTCAGATGACAAACAGGTACACATCAGTCACACGACTTTACCACCACCCACCCTCTCGTTTATTTTATTATCCACCCACCCGCAAGCCATCGACTTTCATCCCAGAAAAGTGATACAATCAAAGAGATTTATTATCATCCTCTGTGCGTGTAACTCCACGAGTGTACTTTCTTCATTTGCCACGGCAAAACTTTTGTTCTCCCGGTGAAAGCATGCAAAAAGAGTCTAGAATGTCATAAATTCACGATAAGAAATTATGTCAAACCTCTCGTGTTGTGTGTGGGTCTTTTCTTTACAAATGACTGCCATTTGAAGGGAAGAGTGGGGCAGATTTGAACACCAACTTTGAATCCATCGCTGTAATTTTGCTCACAAATTTATGGTTGAAATCAAACCGAAAAACTTGATTATCTTACCAATTATGGAGCTTTTCCATTTAGTTATGCTAATGTAACTTTCAGTTTTTCAAAACATTTCGAATAAATATTGCTTTTGAAATAATATTTTCTTGCTATTTTTAGCCCTATTTCATATTTCAATTTGAATTCGTGGCTGACAATAAAATTCTTTGTGAATCTATGCCAAATTTTGGCAATTTCGGACAAAGTGTGATAAAATGTTTGAAATTTATTTTCTGGGAAGAGTGTTTGATTTTCAAACAAGAAAGAAAGATTCAAATGTCTCGAGAATTCTTTTCTGCGATTTAGCCAAAATCACAAAGAGATATTCTGCCAAAATGTGCCCCAGTTTTCCCTATAGCCGAAAAAAGGCAAAGAGCAACGCATATTTCTTTCAATTCTCATCAGTTTCTCTGCGAAGATGTTTTCCCATCTGAAATGAATTCCAATTAAAATCTTATGAGATTTGTAATAAAGGGAAACCCTGGTAATGAGTTTTCGCTGAATAACTCTTATGTAAGGAAGCCCTCAACAAGTTTTGCGTCTCTCGACGTGGTCTTGTTAGAGATTAATGTGCCATGGGCTAAACTGGGTCATATGGAATATGTTAAGGATAATGTCCTTTGTAAATTATTCATTTGATGTAATGTGAATAGATTAAAAAAGTTTCTCGGGGCTTTTTAAATTGAATTTCTAAAATCTTAATCAGATAAAGAGTAGAGCTTAAGTAGATTTGTGTGTGGAAAATGGTTTGAATGGAGGTTCTTGGCTTGGTGTGTAGGAAACAGAAGTTTGTCGCAAGTGTCGTAGAATCACATAAAATTACTGGAAAAATGATGGAAATTATCAATGACAATTTCCTGTATTTAAGCATTTTAAGAGATAAAAATTTCACTGTTTTTTTTTACATACAAACTTGTTAAAAATAGCAAGTTTACATGATATCAGGCTTGTCTTTAAATTTGTACTCGAAAGATATCATTTGAAATTAGTATTCTGTACACAAAAGTCATGTGATGAATAGTAGTTATATTTATCTATGTACTGAAATTATCAATTTCAATTCCTGAAAATTGTGTAAGTCGTGAAAGAAATTGTTTCCTCGCGAGACAATGAAAAGTTTAGCAACTTTCTTATCTGTAATATGCATTCTCTCTGCGAAGAGAAGTTCTTTCTGTAGACTTGACTTGAAAAGTGTGCGTCTGTTTGTTGTCTCAGAGGGACTGCAAATTGCTCATTGCAGCTTGTGAGAGTGTAAATTCACTTGAAACCTGTTGACGTGCATTTAAATTTAATTTAAACTATCTGAAGAGTGACAGAGAGGGAGCGATCGAGAAGTTGTTGAACTGAATGAAGGAATTTCTTCACGTTGACATCATTGTAAATTGGCTTATTTGTTGAATATCTGGCATTTTAACATTTGCGGCTCTCTGGAGACAGCAGAAATATATTTTTGCCTTTCTGGCACTTTATTGTGAATTGTTTGTGTCTGGAAAATGCATCGTTTCTTTTGTGTGACGCGTTGATTTCCCACTTTGGCTTGTGGGGAATTGCAATTGTATGCAAGAAAAATGGTTTGCATTGGGAAAATTTCTTGCTAAAAATTTTCTGTCACATTGTGCATATTTTAATATTTGTCATCTCTCTCTCTCGTGTCTTTTTGCCGTGGCACTAGTTTTGATGGGGGTCTGTCAATGATGTGGAACCGTGACATCTTTTCTCGTGTGTTTGCTTTCATTTTGCTACACTGTCGTGTGCGTAGTGTGACTTCTTGTGGTGTAGTTTCAAGTTCATGTTGTGCCTTCCTCACTTCCACAGCTTTTCCATGTGCGTATTTTGTCAGTGTTCGGTTTCTAATTAATAGTACAAAAACGTTGCACGTGTATTTTAATTCAAGTGGATTCGGTGTTGTACAGATATTCCGTATTAATTGCGTCAATTTGAAGAAGATTGGTCAGATGTTTTAATTGTAGCGCTTCCAGTGTGATTGTATTGAAGGCGAGAGCGGGAGCTTTAGGTGATGAATGTTTTCCAGGGTGGAGAATTGGTGCAAATTGTGAAAAATTGCTCTTCTTCATTAGACAATTAGAGGTGGGATTTATTTGATGTTCCAGGCGTTCTATTGATAAATGTTTGGAGCTTTTGGGGGGGAATCGATTGATTCTTCTTTTAAGATAAGAGAGTGAGGCAGTAAATAAAAAAGCATAAAATTCAATAGGAAGGGATTTGTTATAGACCGAAAAATTCATGAGTTTATTGTGTAATTTTTACAGTCAGAGCAAAACTCCTCCTTTTTTGTATTTGTGGAGCGCTGAAAAGTTTATAAAGGGAGTTTTCACGGAAGATGAAGCTGTCTTTCTTGGCGGAAAATTTGGTGTATTTTATAAATGTAAAAGTTGTACAAAATGTGAAGAATATTTTGATGAAATATTGAGCGGAAATTGATGGGAGATGTTATGTTTGAGGGTGGAGAATCGGAAATATGTACACGGATAAGATTATATGGGGTGTGGAGAGAGGGAGAGAGAGAGAGATGCTCTGAAAATGCGGTGGAAGACATCACAAATCTTCATTGGAGAATATGGAACTTTTTCACCATTATGGATGTACATAAATTCCATGGCAATTATGTGTGTGCGGCGCGCAAACATCGCTGAAATGTTTAATGAATGCCAATTAATTATCAAAAATTAGGAATTTAATGAGATTGGAGTACAAATGTGCGAAAGAATGAATTTTCACTTTGAAAAGCCAGTACAGAGAAGGAGAGAAAGAATGATGGAATTTCGGATGGGAACACGATGATTTCATTTGGAGATACATCTAATGCGTGTCCGGCTAATGAATTAAATGTAGGTGTGATTGGTGGAAGTTGCTACGAGAGACATGATTCCGCATTTATGAGTGTGTTTACGCTACGAAATTTTCCACTCTGGATGTTTTGACCACGAAGAGTTCCTATGCGAAGATTCTAGATATTATTGCAAATTTAATGCTTCTTCCTAGCATACAATTCACTCTCATGTGATTTTTTCCGTGGTGCTGGAGAAGAGAGACCATAGAGAATACAGTGTAACATGGCTATGTCATTTTGGTTTTATGTCTTTTTGCCGCTTCTCTCTTGTTAAATTAAATGCACATATTAAGTAATCCCCTGAGACATTAATTCAGTTTTTCTTATGTGTATGTTTTGAACACTGCGAGAACCAGTTATTTTTTAATGACTAATTTTTTCCAATATTAAATTATCTCCAGCTAGAGATCTCGCGAGCTCTCTGTGTATAAAACTTGTTGTCTAACCAGCTGAAGATCATCTCTGACTGAGGCCAAGGTGTAGAAAAAAAAGAGAAATTCACGAAAAACTTACTGTTATACTCGCGGTGAAAAATTGTTGGTCTTTGGAAGTGGAAAGTGGACGACATAGCTACCTATCGCAATGATAATCTCACAACATCTATCTTGCATTTCAGTCTCTATCTTTTCTTACATGCATTTTTAATGATATTGTGGGAAAAAGTGATCTCATCTTGATGGAGACGCAACAACTGTTGACGGAACTCAATCGCGCAATCTCTACTGGTTTATCTGACATTTTTCAATTTATAATTTATTGAAGGATTTCTTCCTGTGCGATTGAGCAATAATTTTAGAGTCACTGCAGTGCGGCGTCAAAATAAAACACAGTCAGAATGTGTGTATATTTTTAAATTTGGCGGCACTCTAATGGCTTTGAGATTGAGAGAGAAAATAGTCGGGGAAAAAATGAGATCTCAGTGGAATTTGTGTTTTTTTGGGCGCAGCGAATCTGCACAAATTGCGCGGCGCACTTAAATTTTGGCGCCACCGCCGCGTAGAATATTCTTAGCGCACAATTCAGTGCTTGAAATGTGAAATGTGAATGAAGATTTTGCAATTTCCTTGGATATTAAATATACCAGAAAAGATTATACTACTCTTTTTTAATTTCTCAGAAAGGAACATAAACTTGTGAAGAAGAGATAAGCCTGGATGAAGATCAAATGTACTTAGAAAACTTGACACATTTATTTGGCATCTAATTTTGTTACGTGCAACAAACAAACAAATATATGAGGAAGAATATACAATAAAGTTCTCAGAATTCTCAAGTAGAAAACTTTCCTTTATCACAGTCACTTTCTTACAATTTACAGAACAAATACTCAGTTGCACAGACTTGCGATAAATCATTTTTTCAGTAATGGTTATTTAATCGTCGCCGCGAAAGTTGTTTCGGCGCAGGTTTCTGTCTTCGACTCTACGCTATTTTTGTAATTTCATTCACAAGAGAGAGAGAGAAAAAATTTGGGACATTCTGTAGGAAGACGATTTTTCTTGGATTTTAATTGGGTAATGAGTGTGATGATGGGTTAAATGTCACCTAGGCATGACGTAAGCTTGGCAGAGATTGTCACAAATTGACATTTCGCACATTTGCAATTGATTGGTCAACAAATTATCCTTGAGTGTTGATAATACAGTTATTGTAAAATGGTTTTGAGTGTTGTAAAATTTTAATAAGCAAAACTTAATCAGTTACGATATGGCGGGATCAATTGAATTTGTGGTATTTGCCTCTGGGAAATGTCTGTCATGATGA